GTTATCCAGGTCTTCACACAGTCCTTGGCAAATTGTTAACACAATACTTGTCGGTAAAGTGTCCTGTCGGTAAAGTGGGTGTCGGTAAAGTGTCCGGGTCCGTTTCCATATTTGTAATAACTTGCAGATTGGTTAAATAACTGCTCAGCAAAGTTCAAATAATCAGCAAGTTATTTAACTAATTAACAGTTTAAAAGTTCAAAAAGATTTGAACCAGTTAAATTGCCAATACTGCAATTTCTTGTTAGACTATTCATTTTAAATTGAGTTTCCATAAAAAATTTTTTGCCTTTTTTAATAACCTCAAAGTTGCACAAGTTTACTATGTTGATATGTCAGCAAATTTCCTAGAAGTAGATTTTCCATTCATTCTAATCATCAAATAATTTAATTTCTCCAAAGAAAGGTTTTTAATTTTATGATTTGATTTCTATTTTCACACAATCAATGATAATTATACTTATATCAAATATCTGTAATGAAATTCTAGAAAGTTACAAAGCACTATTATTAATAAATATTCAAGTTTTATTATTATCAGGGTTAAAATTTCTTCAATTAATAAAAAATGGATCATTAGTATCAGCAGCTGCTGCAATCACCAGCCAATAGCTGCGACTTTCAACACCTAATTAAATAGGCAAAAATTTTATTCTTATATTTATTTTTTCGCATATATTTGTTTATACGCGTGTCTAATCGTAACTTTGTAGAGAAGGATCTTAGCTTCAAAACTAAGGCTGGCAGCGTAAAGGGATTAAACCCTAATTTAGTAATAATTGTCTTGACTAAAATTGACTTAACATATTAATATGATTAAATAGTTTAGTCAGTTTAGCCAACCCTATGAAAAATAAAATACGAATTAACGTATGTTAAATACGTTTTTAAAAATATATATTTGATATACGGAATTAATATATCTCTTATACGGTTTTGAAAAATTACTCTTTTCAATTTTAGCGTGAAATACGGAATTGATACATACTGAAAAGCCGTATATAATAATAAGGTACATAATTTTTGACATATTAATACTAATATTGGAAAGGTTCTAGTATGTTTTGATTCCGCGTATAAGGTACGTAATGTATAAAATACTGAAAAGAATACATTTGTTTTATTCATTATTATTATAAAACATGTAGTATTTCATCAACAAGCTTACAACTGAGAACGCAATGTGAGCTTCTGCTATGCGAGAACAAAATGCATTTATTTTAAGTTGGGTTTGGATCGTATCTTCTTTGTAGCAAAAAGCAAAAAAAATAACATCATTCAGGCCAAAAAAATAGTCTATTTTATTAAATTCAATACATATAAATATTTCATACAACACCCTCACAACAATATGTATCTTCTACATCATCTTAAACTTTTATTCGAATTTACACAACAAATATATATATTGAATTCATAAATCCGTCCATGACAAATTTATCAAAGGAATATCAGATATAATGAAACTTTAAATTATAATTGTGTTAAAAGCAATAACGGTCTGTATTAATATATATTATGTTGAAGAGAAATGGTTTGAGTAGATGAATAAACAAATGTGAATAATAGAGAAAAAATCTTTCGCAGAATAATTATCGTGACTCATTTCTATTGATAATATGAACAATCAACAATTTAATCACCGAACTAGGAGAATAAATTTCTATATTTAATAGTAAAGCAAATCTTGTCAAACATAAAAAGAACGGTTGAGTGAAAATAAGTAATTATAAAATTATTTTTAGTATACAAAATGAGTGGTAATTTTCATTCTTCAACTTCTACCTATTCTACTACTCCAACAACAACCTTAGCAGTTATAACACGTCGATATTTGTAATTAATTTTTTTTTTACACGTTTTCAATCTTTACTTCCGATACAATATCAAATGTCACCACAATCTCGATTTACTTCTCGGACCACGACCTCAAATTCAAATTCAATCTCAAATCTTTACTTGAAACACAGTCTCAAATTCCATCCTCAATACAATAATCCCAATTGCCGACTTTTTTTTCGCCACATTCTCGATTACAACAAAGAGAACTTACGATTTTGAATTCCCAAGTAAGCCACTAATCATACTCAAATCATTGAAATGGGTCTATTATTCTTCAAAAAAATAATCGAGCACAATTTAATTCATGACAACAAATGTCAGTCATAATAATGGATTAGATGTGTATCTTGATTTCGTAATTCTAAATTTAAATGATAAAAATCTTTCTGAGGTTTTCTATACGTATTGATAATTCTATTATATTGGTAGAAATTTATGTAGATTTTTTGGAATGAAGTAATTTTAATATGAATTTAATTTTTAAAACCTAAATGATTTCAAGCTCAAAAGTAAACTTAATAAAATCTTCCTTTGGTTACAAATTGATTATTCAATAACATTCATATTAAACCAAAAGGATATTTGGAATTTGGTTAATCAAGTTATGGAACAATGGATGCTGAAAATTCCATTTATTTACAGTGAAAATTTTCACAGATTGTTGTCAATTAACTTTTATCAATAAAAACCATTTGCTTTTCTTTCTGCTTTCTTTTGTGAACCAAATGAATAAATAATTCTAAACTTTTTTTCGCCCGCTATAAGAAAATGTGACATTGTTAAACGTTAGACTCAAGTATCAAGGAATAGCAAGGCTGCAAAGGCTGCAAAAGTAGACCTTGCAAAGAAATATCCGGGTAAGCAGAAGAAAGTTTCAAGAATTTTATCAGGGATTTAAATGTCTTTGAAGGCAAGTATTTCCATCGCCAAATCATTCCTAATGTCGCACGTCTATCAGTGTATAATTGGAGTTGGAAATAGTAAACCATTTTTCAAATGAAGATTGTTTACAATCAACATTTGCCATTAAGTAATAGAAGTATTAATTGATTGATTATTCAATGAATCAATATATAATAATTAGTAAGATGAGATGTTGTGGTCTTCTTTAGTCATAAAACCTTCAAGAGTGAGGAAGAATCCGCCATTCATTATCAATTCCGTAATTGATAATCAGTTAAAATAATTAAAAGTAATTTGATCTTGTTGTTGTTTGTGAGCATTCCTTGCGAGTAAGTTTTTAAAATACATCCTTTTAACAATAGCTGCAAGTAAATTTTGCAACCAAAGCTGTAGTTGTAAATTTGTCTATTTGAAAAAAAAAATTCTATATTATTTTTATCAACGGCAAATTTTTACATGAAATAATTTCTCGATCCAAAGTTATGCAAAATTATTTATTTTTTGATAGTCAATGTAACAATAATATTTGTTGTATGCATAACAAATAAATAAACAAATCATAATAAAAATGGCAAATTTCTAGAACAATTAATTTTAATAATTTAATCGCTTAATTATCATCATTTATTTCCTCTCTTTCATTATTATTATTATTATGAATGTCACCGATGTGATTAGTTGAGGGTGACAATGATGAATTTGATTCATCCAAATAATCTTCTATATTTTTCATATCTTGAGTATTTCCAATAAAATCTTCAGTATCTGCAAGATCTTCAGCATCTGTGTTAACATCAATGTATTCCATATCTTGAGTATTTCCAATAATGTCCCTAGTATCTTCAACATTTCCAACATCTTCAATACTTGTATTAACCTCAATATCTTCAACATCTTTAGTATTTTGGATATCTTCAACATTTCCAACATCTTCAGAACTTATATGAACTTCAATATCTCCAATATCTTTGGTATTGTTAGTATCTTCAACATTTACAATATCTTCAGTACTTGTATTAATCTCAACATTTTTAGTATTTTTAGTATCTTCAACATTTCCAATATCTTTAATACTTGCATTAATCTCAATATCTTTAGTATTTTCAGTATCTTTAACATTTCCAATATCTTTAATGTGAGTATTAGCCTTAATATTTTGAATATCTTTAGTATTTTCTACATTGTTTTTACTAGTATTCTCAACATTTAAATCGTCTGAAATATTGTTTTCTGAAATCTCCAAATCACTCAATACTTTATTTTCATCTTCATCAGATCCCTCCAATTCTAAATTATCATCATCATTGTTATCAACTAAATTGTCATCATCATCAGATAAATTAACATCATCGTAGTTATCGTCATCGTCATCACCATCATCACCATCATCATTATCATCGTCATCATCGTCATCGTCATTATCCATATTATCATCAGAATTATTAGAGCCATCACAATTATTAGAATCATCAGAATCATCCATATTATCATCAGAATTATCAGGACCATTTGAATTATTATAATCATCCGAATTATTAGAGTTTTCTTCTTCTTCTTCATCTGAGTCAATCGAAAAATTTAATACTAAATATTAAATATCAATTATCTTATATTAATTATTAATTATTTGCATAATTAAACATCAATCAATCATTACATGGACATCATCATCAGCAATAAAATTATAATAATAATTCATGTTATTGTTATTACCTGCATCATATTCCAAAAGTCTCATTTTTTTACGAGCAGTTTCGTATTGATTACCAACCAATATATATTTCCTTATATCACAATCATCTATACATTTCACCTTTTCATCTTTGACAATTTTTTCCAATTTTTCTTCTGACAGCTGCTTCACCCGCCTACTCAACTCTAATTCACGTTTAAAACTTTTTGGTTTTGATTTTGATGAACCTGGAAAATTGTTGAATAAAAATATATTGTTTCTGAAAAATCTTGGCATCGTCAATAGATAGATATAGATTTATATGTAGGATTAAGAATTTTATTGGTAGGAACTGTTCAAACTGTTCAACAATAACTATTATTGATATATTGTTATATTAAGAAAAAGACTAATTACACGTGTAAAAGGAAAAAAGACTTTATGAAAAATAAATTAGAAAGAAAAATTTTTTTGGTTTTTTTTTTGATGAAGAAACAAAAAATTATTATGATTTGTAAACAAACATTTATTTTATTTATACAATTATATTAAAACTATTACAACGTCATTCATCAATGATTAAAAATATATTAGTAACCAATGATTTTTATTGCAATTATAATGATTTATTAAGTTCCTTACGCAATATTTTTGTAATGTTTGCAAAATTAAAATTTTTATAAAATAAAAACAAACATAAACATCATGACCCATACACAAATTAATACAATTAATTTATTCATTCATTCATCTCAACAATGCTTTTAATCTTTCTGATATTTGATAAGCAACCGGCACCCCACCTCTAATATCAATAATATACCGATAAATATTAGTTATTCTAATCATATTCATTATATTACTGATCATCTATCTATACCTTGGTAAAGCCAATACGATAAAATCTTTGCTGGCATTATTATATTTGTTGATTAAACGATCTGCGAGCATTTTTCCCGCTTGTTCACGATTTTTGAATCTCATTTTTTTATTTTTTTAATATTTTTAAAAAATTATTTTTGTGTGAAAAAAATAGATAATTTATTTATAATCTATTTCCATGCGTGCGTGATTAATATATTAGTATTAGTTACTTTAATGACACTGTGTGAAAAAAAAAATTTTTCGAAATCATCATGTATAAATTGGTATTATTAATTTGATTGGTCATTATAACTATTATTAGTATGATGCAGAACCTCCTAGATTTTTCATGACCTTTTAAAAAAAGAGCTCAACATTTTAAAATTTAACTATTACTATTAAATCGATAGAACAGGTCTCTCTCTAGCTTTAATAGAAAAAACAATTTGTGTAAAGTTTTATTCCTTTTTAGGATTAAATTTATTATAAGCACATATGACTATGATTTCTAGATTTGGTCAAAAATGTTACCTTCATTTATCTAATTCCATTTTTGACACAACATGTTTGGTTCTGCACCATAGTTTATTTTCTGTTTTTATCTTATTATACATATATTTTCCTAATATATCTTATCCTTCCTTATTTTTCTTAATACGTTCTTAATAATATTGAATGCAGGAATTATA